TTTTTTTTTGGAGACAGGGTCTTGCTTTTGCTTAGGCTGGTCTAGAATCTGTGAGCTCAGGCAATCTACCTCAGCCTCCTAGCATGCTAGGATTACAAGTGTGAGCCATCATGCCAGGCCGACTTTTTCTTTTCATTCTTTTTTTTTTTTTTAAATGAAAACTCTTGACTATCTCCTTTCTTCTCCCAAATTCCCTTCCTCTAAGATAAGAGTGTTACCAATTTGATGTGTCTTGTTCCAGACCTTTTCCGCTAACATTGTGAAAATGAATAATTTAGTTTTGTATTTTAATAAACATCTCACAATATCTAGTATCCTGTGCCTTAATGAATGATACAGGTGAAATTTAGATTTGGTGAGGCAAAAAAATGTGACTTAACAGAGTCATTTGTTGCTTTTACAATGGGGATATGATCTCAGAAAGGTGTCCTTAGTTGACTTTGGTTGTGCGAACATCATAGTGTATTTACATAAGCCTAGATGATATAGCCTAATATAGACCCAAGGTGTATGGAATAGCCTGTTGCTCCTAGGGTTAAAAACCTGTACTGCGTGTTGCTGTACTATAGGCAGTTGTAAACAATGGTAGGTATTTGTGTATTGTTATCTAAGCATATTTAAACATATAAAAAGTAGAATGAAAGTATAGTATAAAAGGTTATAAAACAGGTATACCTGTAGAGGACACTTAGCTGTGAATAGAGCTTGCTGGACTGAAAGTTGCTTTAGGTGAGTTGACGAGGAGTGAGTGAACATGAAAGCCTAGGACATTATAGAACACTTAGACTTTATAAACACTGTGTGCTTAGGCTATGCGAAATTGATAAAAAAATTTCTTCAATAATAATACCATGGAATACTATTCAGCCATTAAAAAAGATGGAGAGGTTACAACTTTTGTTTTAACCTGGATAGAGTTAGAACACATTCTTAGTAAAGTATCACAAGAATGGAGAAGTAGGCTCAGCGCCTGTGGCTCAAGTGGCTAAGATGCCAGCCACATACACCTAAGGTGGCAGGTTCGAATCCAACCC